TGCTGTGGGTGTGTGGGTGATTTTCTGACCTTTAAATAGTACACGGGATGCCGAAGCTGCCATCGCTTCGTGACAGACAGTTTCATAATGGCTGTTAAAAGAGGCCTGCTGATGTTAGCTAATGGAGATAGAGATGATATGAAGTGGTCACTATGACCCACCATTCCCAAGGAAATGTTATGTAATCCTCTGGGGATTGTTGCAGCATGCCTGGCTGTTTTTCTGCAAGACTGCTCTGTCCAGTGGTGCTTTTGTTGCTGTGTACAGTATAAAGTATGTATTTTTTCTGTGTTTGTCTTGTCTCCTGCAATCTAGGTCAAGAATCAAGAAGTTTCATGCAAACATACGCCATTTAAACCTTAGACCTAAGCATCAAAGCCTGACTGAACTTAAGTTAAAGCACGGTGATACATACAGTGCTACTCATACGACAGTTTTGCTTTATATTATATTTTTCTACTAAATGATGGAGTGCAAGAACCTGTTTCTGAGTCTTATTACCTCCCATCAATATAACATGGTCATTATCAATACATAATGTCCCTGATGCTTTGTTGTGGAGGTGTCTGTGCTTGTGAAAGATATTCATTTTCTCTAATACTGTACAGGTTACATCTGGTCAGTTCTATTTGTAAAATTTTCTTCACAACTTCTCTTTTACACCACTGCTCTTTTTATTTTGTTTCAACATCTTGCATATGCAGTGTACTAAAACTGAATAAGACTGAACCTTACCTCCTTTCCACGGAGAGTAGCAGAATTTGTTTTGCAAGTTTTTATGAAAGTAAACATTCACTATTCACGTGGTTTGCCTTTGTTAATCTGTTGAATATTTGCTGAAATAAACCCAGATGTCTACTCTCCATAACCCTACAGTATCATGCTCTGGCCACTCAACTTCCCACAGTACTCTGCTAAATGTCAATGGTCTGGTTCAAAAAACTGAGAGCATCATTTGTAGTTGCCCGATCAGGAATTGGCATTTTGTCCTCACTAAAATCCTTCTCCTGTCTAATTTTATATCTTTCTTTTTTGTTCTTTTTTGTCCTCTTAGTGTTATCTATTCCTACATTTATTAATATACTGTTTCATTTAGTTATTCATGAGATTATGTTAGTTCCATAGGTTTATTCTAGCGGTGTGACGAGATCTCGTGCCACAAGATCTCCCGATATTGAAACATGACAATATTTCTTGTCGAGGTGAAAAGCTGTCTTGCGATATCCTCACATAACAGTAAACATGAGGGAGTTGGAAGGTGAAATTAGCATAGGAGATGCCCCCGCCACTTTTAAATCGTTTGTGTGGCAGCATTTTGGGTACCCGGTGGAAAAAATAAACGGAGACTGAGTGACAGACTAGGCACAAATAATATGTAAGCACTGTAAGAAAATAGTGCCGTACACCGCGGCTAACAGCAGCACTATGCAAAGACACCTACAGAACCCCCACAGCTCTCCACTAAAATCAAGAAAACACTGAAAGGCCAGACAACACTGACAAATGCCTTTGCATCTCAACTTCCACAGTAAATTGCTAGAGCCACGGTAATAACAAGAGACATCCGTGTTTTCATTGGAGCTGATATGAGGCCATTTTCCTTTTTCGGCGACTCCTCCACACAATGGAGCCGAAGTACAAAATCCCGAACCCGGTGGTCCAGGAACCTCTACAAAGAGTCCAAGGCCAGGATTTTGTACAGACCCTGAAAGAGGTAGAAAGCACCGCCATAACAACTGATGGTTGGACTTCTAGGGGTATCCAGAGCTATATCACAATTACCAGTGACCGGGAAATTGGAAATGTTTTACTGCAGACTCGCCCACTTTTCGAGTCCCACACAGGGGCAAACATAGCCGAAGTTTTACAGGCAGCTGTTACTGACTGGGACTTAAAAGGCCAAACCATGGCATCGCTGTTGTGACTGATAATGCGTGTAATATGGAGGTGGATGCGCACGAGGCAGACTTGATGTAGCACATGATAAACCTTACTAAAAAAAAAAAAAGACTAAGAAAAAGTGTTAGTTATTTTTGTTATATATATTGTTTTTGTTTTTTTATGTTCAATTTGTGGAAAAGAGTTCAGTTAGAAGGTCACACACAGCTTCAATTAGAAGCTAGAAGCTCATGCATAGTTCATGCACAGTTATAAGGTCTGAAGAGACTCTTGAGAAATCATACAGGAGAGAAGCCAGTCAGTTGAGTTTGTGGCAAAACCTTTTACAGTGCTTATATTGTTGTTATAAAGTAGAACTTAAGTGACATTCATTACAAGATGATTAGTTAAAACATTTCAAATGCACCTGCATTGTTCTGCATTTTGTGACTTTCAGTCGAATAAAAGAGTCATAAGTTCCTGGCCTCCCTTCAGTTCAGACATATCTGTACTGAGACAGGCCGGGCCAATCACAGCTATTTATCTAAAATGTGGCAGGGTTTGATATGATGACAGAGGGACGCCACTGAACTCTAAAACAAAAAAAACAACAAAAAAAAAAAGGTACAAACAGCTGCACTTATAGCGTTTGTTGATAAGAATTGTGTTTGCCGTACTACGGAGAGGATTTGGTAATTTAGTTGGTAGTTTAGTTTACCAACTGGTCCCACTCTGCGCTACGTCATGTTTCGTTGCTATGATAGGTTGTTGGTCTATCCAGTTGCAGCCGGAGGCATTGTGCACCATTGATAATGCCCTTGGAAATTGAAAATGAACTGAGAGGTTCAATACCCATTTGCATAAGCCAATTGTGCTGATGATGCCAGACTAAGTTCACCGTAAACCACCATCTGATGTGGCCCCTGAAGTTGTGTGACATCTGCTCGGCAACAGCTCTCAAAATGGACTCGAAAGTCAACAACTACATATATAAATGGATGGGTCTTTCTTGATGTCTTTGCAACATGGCACTGTTGGAGAAAGTGAGGCTCGTGTTCACGTTGAGAGAATCATCTGACCTGTCTATCCAAAACTCCAAGGCCCAAGTGCACACAGGACACAAGTGGAATACAATGCAGACAGTAGAGCAGGCCATCAATCAACTGAAACCCCAGGAGACTATTAGATTGTGGCAGCCAGGCAGGGCTGTTTCGATGAGGATCAGCACTTAAGATGTGGTCCAAAGCCACAAAGAAAAGAAAGGAAAGACCTGGCAATCTCTTAAGTTGTGAAGAGGAGAGCATTAAAATCAGAGCTGTGAGTCAACAGGAGCAAGGGAGCTAGACAACCTGGGAAGCTGTGATCAACAGGACAATTATTTAGGTGGATATGTGGAGCGCCCGGAACTTGCCCCTTTGGAATGGCTCAGAAGCGACCTGACAACCAGAGCTTGCAGCACATCCTTCCTTGTTGCAAGGCAGCATTGACACACAGCTGGTACGGATAGCAGCACGTGTAAGCGGCCCTGTGTAAGCTAGCCAAAATCGTGGAGGCTGGAATCAAACAGGGCCAGCTGTGCTTAGGCCCAGAGCCGCAGCACGAGTGAGTGATCCCTCCTGTTACCTGGAAGTGAGTGGAACATGATAGTTGACCTTGATCGCCTGTTTTGAAGTTCCCGCAACATGCGTGTTTTCACGATGTTGATTACTTTCTTGTTGTAGCAGTTGAGGCTTGAGAAGAGTTTAATATCCATGTTTTCAACCCCTTTTTTTAACGTTGAAATGTCACCTTAATTTCTTACATTTCTTTTTTATTCACATAGTGTCACAACACAGGTTGCCATCTGTTTTCACAGCTGTCTATTCACAAGAATTGTCTGTTATTTGCTGTTTCCTGTACAGTGCTCTGTGACGAAGCTGATAAAAATGTTCTATAAATAGACTTTACACGACCAGTCCTTATCATGCACACTCCCATATTTTATTTCATTTCTGATTCTTTAATGGAGAGGGAGGTGTAGAAAAGCAGATTCGTAATCTTTATCAGCTACACCAGCCTGACCTCTGACTAAAATAAGTCTATTTCAACAGAACTAATAATCCCAAATCATTTATCCAGCAAAAATGTGAACCCCACTCTGGGGCCTGGTTGTCAGATACAAGGATTTTATGCATGTATACTGCACTTATATAGCACTTTCTTAGTCTTAGAGACCAGTGCTTAGTGCTTTACATGTCATTTTCACTCAGTCACACACATACACCACACCCATACACTAATGAAACAGCCATCAGGGGCAATTTGAGGGACAGCATCTTGCTCAAGGACATGCAGAGTGGAAGAGCCGGGGATTGAACCACCGACCTTCTAATTAGTGGAAGACCCGCTCTACAGCCTGAGCGGTTTGGACTGTTGATCAGACAAGCAAGCAGTTTGGAAACACTGCCTCTGAGTCTTGGAACATGTGATGGTCAATTTTCCACAAAAAAATGAACTTATAAATTAAAAAAGTAATTGATGGATTAGTCAGTGCTGAAAATAATCATTAATTCTATTTAAATTATTTGCTCTAACAGCTTCACGGAGGTTTTTTCTTGTAGGTAAAAACGGCAAAAAAAAAAAATCTCTCTGGGCATGACAGGACAAACCCTAAGGCACCATGTGTCCTTCTGCCTGAAGTCCCCTCTCATGCTTAGAGCACACTCCTTGCTACGGGCCTGCTCATGTGAAATCACTGTTTGTAGCAGTAAAACTCAGCCTGTAACTTCAGGGAAGTTTATTAAAAACATTTGCCTTGGCAGCCCGCTTTGTGTGGTGTTAGTAAAGGGACCCCACCGCGGATACATTCCTTCACCCTGCGTGGCCAAGTTATTGCAAGAATGTGGGATGACTTTTTCATTTCTGGATGACCGGGCAGGCCCCCCCCCCCCCCCCCCACCAGATCATCGGGCTGCGTCGACCGGGCTAATGCTGTGACACATCGGTGGGAGATACTGGAGCAGAGCTGGCGAACAGATGATGAGAGGAGTGGCAGACTTAACTAAACTTCCCCGAATGACGCGCCCGGCTGCCCCTCCTCCCTGTTAGAAAGTTTCCCCTTCTCGCTTTTAGTTCTCCCGATTTTGACGGAGCGGGTTAGGAGTGAGAAATAGTCTACAGGTAAAAGGTCTGAATAAAGATTAGACATGAAAGCAGTCAGCGGGTAGAAAAAGGCACTTAAAACTCTTTTCCCCCAAGCGAGCGGCATCATGAAGCCACTGCTGCGCTTCAGCGTCTCTCTGTGGACTCTTCTGGTCTTCATCGCTCTCCTCAAGGTAAGAAAGCTTCCATTCATCCGCATGAACAGAAGTAAACTTAGTGCTATTGTTTTTTTTTTATCAAGTTTTCATAGGAAACGACAACAGGGCGCTTTGTTTGGATGGTGAAGGTCATTTGTTATCGCACGGGTGTGACTGCACCTGTTGCGCAGGTAGCTGCTCGGCCGTAAAGTCATTTACCTCTCTGTAATCTGTGCTTGATTCAGCACAGCTCAGACTTCCAAAAAAAAAAAAAGAAAAAAAAAAAAATCTCAACAGTTACAAAGCACTTTCATCCTGGTGACAGACACAGAATGTCATGACTTATTATAAGATGAGCAATGTTCCTTTGAGAGTTTTAATTGGATTCAAATTTATGTCAGCGAGTAATTAATACGCCGACCTTCAGTTGGTTTAACAATAGTGGGCTATTTATTGGACGACATGGAGTGAATAAATTAGGTCTAACAACGTTGGACTTATTTATGGAAATAAAAATGTGTTAATTTTGCGCATTTTTCAATTCTTCAATCCTTTGTAATAATTAAGAAAGGCACTCTAATGAGATGTTTTAGTCTATATCTGAAATATCTTCATTGGTTAATCATTTATTCAGGATTGCACAGGTCAGTGTCCAGTGTGTGAAAATATGCCCATCTGAGCAAAGCTTACATAACACTCAGCCTGAGGCATCCAGCAGCCACAGACCCACCTGTCCTTGTCCCACTGGTCTTTCTGGAGAGCCAGAGAGGTTGACAGAAGTTGAGAATGGCATGTGAGGATGTGTGTGGCCAACACAAAGGGGTCAGGAATGGAATGAGGTGCAGCTCAGTGACCCTGTCAGTCCTGCAGCCTCAAATCTTCATGCCAGGGAATCACAGACGGACACACACTGACTTAGTTGTACCTAATAAATTGGTCAGTTTATTATGTGCAAAATCTTTTGTAAAAGTGTCTATGGGTGAACTAGTGGCGTGAATACTGAGGAGGCTGTCCTCACCAGTAAAAAAAAAAAAAGACCAAAACCCTCTAATGTGCTGGATCTGTAAAGAAAAGGCAGAAGTGGCAGAAGTGGTGTGACAGTTTTGTGCAACAAAGCCTTTAAATTAGGGCGTTTTGGTGAATATTGACGCGTTCAAAATATAAAATGTGTGACTTTGACACCAGCCATCGCCATTGGTGTTACTTCTCGTGACAGCAGTCAGAAACGGCTTCCTTTAAGGACAGCCACAGTATTTGCCACACCTTAACCAGAACATAACCATGGAGGCATTAGTTTAATTGAATTTAGTTGAATTGAAGTCACATGCCTCTACTCCCACAGTCGTTTAGAAGCATTTTCTTAATTGAACACAGCAACTTCCCTCCGCACCTAACCATTTTTGCAATGTGCATTTACTATGATCCTATATTGGTTTGTTCTGTCAATAGTTGTAAACTATGATCTCCTTGTTTATTGAGCTGGAAAGTTTATTCTTGACCTTGAGGACTGGGCGATACAGTCGAAAGCTCCAGAAAAAGCCAGTAAGAAGACCATTTTTCTACGTAGTTCTGTCTTTTGGTGAAAAACACAGATAATCTGTACCAAATGACAAGATAACTGCATTGGTTTCAATAGGAAGTAAAGGTGCACTGGTCCATTATATTAATCAACTTCTATGAAGCGTACACATGTTGAGCAGAGATCGACACAGGCCGCACATGCAAATGTCAGTTGGCCACAAATGCAGTTGGTTTTTTAATACTGTAGAGAAGGGCATGCTCAAAGACTGATGATGGCTTATAAAGCAACATGGTTATAACTGTGTGATTCAGTCTTAAAGAAGATTTACATTGTGTTGTACACATTTGTTAAGGCAACAACAAGAATCCAGTTTGTTTTCCCTTTAAATGTTAGATCATTGAGCTGAGACTTGTGGTCAGGATTTCTTCTACAGTTAGACGGGACAGTCGGACACATGACAGCCAGGACTTCATCGTTCAAAACCTGCTACACTTTAATACATACAGTTTTCTTGTTGTTGGTCAAACATTTTTTTTTTTTACTTAATGGAAAAACATGTTTTAAATGAGGAAATTTAGAGACGGAAAACTGCATTCATACACACCTTTGAACCAGTTTATTCCAACCTGTTTGCGAGCTTACGAGAGGCATGTTGAGATATAATCTTTTCGTGTTAAGATGTTAATATGGATAAACACAAAACACCAAGGTTAAGTGGGACAAAACATAATTGTGATTTTTTTCTTTTGCTTAATTGATTCTTCCTTTTCTCCTCGTCATCCCTTTCTCTCTTTTCTAGCAGTCTCATTGTAGTTGTCTTATTATTTTTACTTTTCTCTTCTTGCAGCATTTGAGTGTTGATGTCCCTCTGTCCTCGCAGTTCTCAGTTTAACGTACAGAGACGTGGCAAATTAAAGGAGAGACCAACATAAAGTATCTTAATAGGATTTTGTGCCAACACATGCAACCAGAACAGCTTCATTGCTCCTTGGCATTAATTCTACAAGTCTCTGAACTCTAATAGAAGGATGAACACCATTCTCCCAAACAATTTACCCTCATTTGGTGTTTTGATGATGTCGATGGAGAGTGCTGTCTAACACGTCGGTCCAAAATCTCCCAAAGGTTTCCATTATGGTTGAGGTCTGGTGACTGCGAAGGCCGTAGCTTATGATTCTCATTGTTTTCATATTCATCAAACCATTCAGTGACCCCTCGTGCCCTATGAATGGGGAGCATTTTTCAGGTTTTTTCTTTAAGTTGTCACCCGTCTGTACATGCCTGTGTTTGAGCATTGTCAGATATTGACAGGAAGGTAATGGGGAACATCAGCGCCCAAAACTTGTGGCGGAGCTGCACACCTTTGTTCCCCTCTGAAGTCATGGAAACAAGTCAGATAGGATGAATTGTAGATCGTAATTTTATTACAGTAGATTCTAGCAGTGAGATGAACCTGTAAATTCGGAAACATAGTTTGGCTAAAAGCCTGAAGGAAGTTTCAGTAGAAAAAGGGGAAATACTAAGCTTCCCTGAATTGAAGGTTTTTGCATATTGACATTTTCCATTCATTTACTGAAATATTTTTTACCATTAAAAAACGAACAATCCACTCAACTACACATCACAGTCTGTATGTTAACTACCAGTCTAAAGTGAATATATCTGCTACAGTGTCCTGTATCTTTTTGACCTTATTTACCTAATTGTCAGAGACTGACGCCATGATGCTTGTCAGTAGTCTTTATCTCTCATAGGCCGACTATTCACCACCATCTGCTCCACACCTGGTCATGCTCTGATCAGCTGATTGAACAATAGAGAGTGCTGAGATGGATAACACTTAAAGGCCTTACACACATTGATGGTCTCACTTGTTCAGGATAAGTTCGCCTCAGCTTGGCTTGTAATTGGGTGGAGATGTGATGGACTAACAGTGAGGTCATCAAACCCCATAAACCATCAGGATCCCTGAAGAGGGGCAGTTTGGCAAAATAACTGAAAACACCTGTGTGATCGGACGAAGGGGGTGAAGGACCTTTAAGACAAAACCACCTGATGTGGTCTGCAGCACATCAGGAACCGCACAATTATATATGTCATATTAAATTGATTTACGGGTCCAATTAATTTTTCTGGAACCTGTATGATTATATATTAAATATTTTTCCATATTCTGTTCTAAATGTCTGTTTGCTGCTGAATCATTCTAAATTTGTTTCCGTGATGACCTTATGTCCCATAAGGTCATCACGGGACCTTTAAAGTTTGATACAAGTGACTCCTTTTAAATTAATATTTATCACTAAATTAAACAGAACTGGTATGTTAACATCTTAATGTACGATCCAGTTCTGACTCTTTAAATGATTCTGTCCTTCCTTTAAGCCGCACTCCCAAACTGTACAAACTCAGCTCTTGTGACAAAGTTGTTTTTGAAATAACACATCTATTCAGTAGTTGATACACTGTATATCTTTTTCCTGCATCAGCTTTTTGTTTGGCCATCATGCAAAACAGTTTGAGGTGGGATTAAAGAAAGGTAGAAACCCTATTTTAAAGAGTTTGGCTTGTCAAGAGAAAGAGCGTGCAAAGTTTAACAGTCACCCATTAATGACCCAGGAAAAGTACAACACTTTGCATGAGTTTATCATGGTATGGAGCCTCTCTCTGTTCCCATTCACTGTGTCTTTCTCTGTCTGTTGCCTCCTCACAGCTTGCAGAAATGAAAGCATGGTGACGTGGCTATCAGTGGGAAACATCTTGGAACAAGGAAATGTTACGTTTTCTAACACTTAAAAGAACTGCCCGGCTGTGGCTATGAACACCGTCTTTATGGCCAGCTGCTGTTCTAGTGTCTTGTGCTACTATGAAATGTGGATGACATTTCATGACTTGATGACGTCTGAGGCTCATCTGAACACAAGTATTTCTCTCCACAGTGTATTCTTCTCACTGTACTGAATTAGAAAACATGAGCCTCTTTGTCTTGCGTCGCATTGTTGGTCTAAAAAGTCAAAGTCACAAATCAAGTCCTCCTTTGTGGAATACTGCACTTTCCACCCACTCTCACCCTCCATTCAACCATATCAAGACAGTCCAGTTTCAAATTTACATCCCCAAACATGCTGCCTTCAACCCAGGCTGGCTGGAAGTTCAGCGTGTACAAAATGAATTACAAAGAGTCACAGTTCCCCAGTCCATGTAAATGAGACATAGGCTCCTCTCTCAGCCTCAAAGGCCTTATTGTCAGCAGATAGCTATCATTTTATCAGTGTCCTCTGAGCGAATCATGTCCAGGCAAGGCTTAAGAGGGGGTGAAAAATTATTAGTTTTCTCTTGATGTTTCTCTATGGCTTGGTCATACTGTCTTTCCAAATTGAGTACCAGAGTGCTTCAAGCAGGATTTTAAATGGTCCAATGGTAGAAAATGACCATAATATACAGAAGGCCATCTGTGTCAGTTTGATAGGGTTGTTGCTCAGTGCCAATGACAGCCAGGTGCTGAAATGTCTGG